CTTGGATGGAACAGAGGTGTTCATTGGTTGTCTTGTTCCTTCTTCAAGGAAGTCTTCGGNGGGGCATCTTCTTCTTCATGTTCCTCTTCCTCTTCAGTCCTCCAGCTATCAGGAATGTGATCTGGGTCATCTTTGAACATCTGTTCAAGCATCTGGTCCCCACACGAGACAGTTTCATCTATTACAGAAATTCGGATTGGCTTGGATGGAACAGAGGTGTTCATTGGTTGTCTTGTTCCTTCTTCAAGGAAGTCTTCGGCCTCGTCAGTGAAAAGAGAAAAACCAGGAAATTTTGAGGCAGCTGTAGAAGATGGGGAGGGACCAGTTGAAGGGGGACGTGGAGCAGAAAAACGGTTGAAAAGGGGTTGTGATTTTCGAATAGGTTGGTTAGGGGTGGTGAATGGGAAAAGGTTCTCAGCAACTTGGCTAACTTGGACTGTTTCAGGTTGTTTGTTGAACTTGACAAACAGATTCATACCCTTGTGAACTTCGAAATGGCGATAGAAGTACATAACAGAACCATCGTGTGAAAGAACAACCGGAGGGGTTGAGATCCCGGTGGCAAGTTCATTAGTGTTTGGCGGCCAATAGCTCAGAGAGACAGAGAGGGGAGCTTCAGTGTTGGGAAAAAACTCCTTCAAGACGTTGTTCTGAATTTCGACCAAGGACATGGTCGGAGAAAGAGTAACAATCCGAGACATTTGATGTTTGTCGATAGAGAACTTCCAGCTATCGTCGTCGGAGGTCTCCCATTCACCAGCGATGACCATACAGTGGTCTGGCATGGAAGAAGCTGGAAATCAAAAGAGCAGAGTGATTAGTCAATAAAGCTTAAATTGTTAACTTAAGCTTCAATGATAAGGTAATTAGATTAATATTAACGTACATACAAGAATTTGATGGGTGAAGAGGTATAGTTTGTTACGTTTCTTGCAGTGGAGGGTGTTTGGATTTTTACTTTTTACTGAAACAAAACGAAGAAGAAGGAAGAATGTAGGGATAATTGATCTAGGCCGTTGACAAAATAAGGTTCTTGATCGGATGGTTGGGTTTGATGGAATCTTAGTGTCAATTCCAGATCTGTGCTATTAGATCTGAGCCATTGAAGGGGTTTTGATATCAATGGCTGAGAATAAATCCCGCCACCTATAACTAATTCATGTAACTGTAAGAGAGATTATTAGTTGAGACATAAGAAGAAGAGTACAAACTGGTCGGTTGGAGAGAGGAAAGTGTGTCTGTATAATAATGTGTCCTATGGTGATAGATAACATGAGGAAAGTGACCTGCACTGATATTATTTCTAAAAGAAAAGTCTGGTATGCTTTGACTACGAGCCTATAAGGTTATATTTAAGAATTGCAGTTTAAATGTTAGAACTATTTAACGTTGGTAAGAGTGTATGAGAAATGCGTATCTGTGTTTTATTAGTCATGTAAGTTTGTACATCTACTGTATAAGACGTATTTGGGGGTCTTTGACAGCCAAATATAGGAACTATTTGTGCGCAGATTAGAAGTGTCGGTATTTTAAACTTAGAGTGCGTTACCTATTCTTCTTAAATTTATCAGCCATTATGTATTTTTTTGAAAAAGGTAAAATGTTGAAAAAGGCGAGTCTTTGGTTCTCTCAATCTCAGCTCCATGTGAAATATGTAGAAATAAACAGTTAGTACGCGATGTTAGATATACTGCTTTTATTGCCAATTCGTATCAACTTTCCTTTTTAGAAAACTTTACATTTTCACTGACTATTCTAATTTGGGAAAGGTGTAGAAAGTACAATACTGAGCAGAATTTGGATTTCTACTAACAAAGCACAATACTGAGCAGAATTTGGATTTCTACTAACCATGGTAGACTTGGTAGTTAACACGGTAGACACAAAACAATAATATTGGAAAGCTAAAAAAGGAATAATTTCATTATTTTCATGTAAAAAAAAAGAAATAACATGAAAATAATGAAATTTTTCCTTAGAAAAATTGTCTAAGTTGTTTTTTTTTCTTTGAGAAAGGGCTTTTAAAATGTCTAGGTCGTTAACAAAATGTTGAAGCGTATATATACTGAGGATTCTTTTTCTTTTTTGAACTTAATATAGAATATATTGTTTGTCTGGTTAATTATTCCATATATATTATTTGTAAAGTGATTTTGACATGTATCATCACCATAATTAATTTCACCAAAAATGATAACATGTCCAATAATAATGATGACACGGCTTGGAATTAATTATGACATGTACATTTACATTTAACGTTAATATATATTATTGATAACTTTTTAGAATATTGTAATAACGGGTACATTACATTTAATGTTAATTTATATTTTTGGTAAACTACTAATATAATAACTCATAAATTAAATCATCACTAAAAAAATATACTGAAATATGCATTATAAATTTCAAAATGTTATTTACTTTTACTTTTATAATCATACAATTTTTATTACTAATATTTGTAAAATTTTCAACATTTTTAATAAATTTTTAATTGTAATATCGTTAATATTTTTAGATATCAAATTTTTTTAAAAAATATTATATAGTTATACTTTTTAATAACTATACAATTTTGTATGAATTCAAGTTGATTTAATATAACCAAAATAAATAGATAAAAATTCTAAGATTTGAATTTTAAATATATTACATATATATTATTAAATATAATTTAAAATAAAAAATTATGTGTTCCTTAGTTTGTAATTAAATCAAATTTATATTACATATTAGTCAAAATAATAAAATATAATATTAATAAATTTTCTTTAAATATAATTTAACTTTTGAAAAAAATTATCACTGCACATGGTGCAGGAAAACACCTAGTACTATTGCAAACTATGAGAAACATTACAAAAAAATATTATATCCGACAATTCTATATTTTTTTATAAAGATTTTTGTCTGACTGCATCACCCTGAACCGTTCTATAAGATCCATTCCTGGCGATATTCTTTTCCTGGCGGTATTGGTATTCTTTGCGATATGCTGAAGATCTCTTGTAAACCTTTTTCCAATAGATGATTCTTGCTATTGATTTTTTTTCCGTAAGTTACAAGATTTTTGTTTATAAAATATCACAAGGTACAACTCTTTTATTGTAAAAATATCATAAGATACGATGGAAAGATTTTTTGAAAAGTAGAAACTAGCAAAAGTGTAATTTTTCTTTGCCAATTTTCTAGATATTATTTGATAAGTAATTTGTCATATGTCATCATATTGTTTTTGAAATAAAAATGATGATATTACTTACTAACAATGATGACATAGATTGTAATATGAAAATTTATATTTAATGTTAATTTATATTTTTAGTATTTTCTTAGAATATGGTAATAACTAATATATCATCACTAATATAATAGTTATAATATAATAGTAAAAATATAAATATAATAATATTTTAAAGTTTTTCTAAATGTTATTTAATTTAATTTTATAATTATATAAATTTTATTATTAAAAAAAATCAAAAATTTATACATTCTTTTTTAAAAAAAATTATAATTCTACTACTATTAGTTTCTTTTTATATCTATAAGTTTTAGAAATATTATTTAGTTTTACCTTTTGATAATTATATACCTAACAAATTTTCTCTTAATTTTATAGAATTTGATTTAATAACTTTTAACCAAAATAAATAGATAAAGAATATCAAAATATTATAATTTTAAAAATATATATATATATATTATTAAATATACATTTAAATAAAATAATTTTTATCTTAGTTTGTACATATATTAAAATTAAAATATATTAAATTAAAATACCACATTTTACTTTTAATATACTTTTAATTTAGAAACTTTATTTATGCAAATGATGTAGGAAAACAACTAGTGTTCTAAAAGCTGGTATAGGTGATGTTTGTCTAAGCAGAAAATTGGTCATAATCGATATATTTTTTAAGAAAAATTAATTTAAACAATTTAAAATGTTTGAAATCAATTAAAAATAGCCTAAGTCGATCTATATTAGTCTATTTAAAAAATAAGTAATAATATTAGTATTAATATAAGAAATTGTCTAATGCGTTCGTTTTATATATATAATCTTATAATTTACTAAATTAATTTTATAATTAAACTCACACCTAACATATCAAATATAAATATATAATATGTATCAAATAAATCAATAATTCGTTAAACCTTGACCTCACATAGATCCGAGTAATCAGTATATAGTTGCTAGTCCTCTATAAAACGTCTCAAGCGATTTTCTGAACATTGGTCTTTGCCTTGTGACGCTTGACGAGCATGTACTAACAATAGGAACTGTCAATATTGCCAACTATTAGTTTTTATTAATTCAAAAGTGCTAATGTGGCAGCCGTAAAGAGTTAATGTCAACTATTAGAAACGAGTTTCTGGTTACTTAGTTTTGGTTTAGAACCGAAAGTTTTACGGATGCAACTAATTTTCACATGATTTATTAAGCTTTTATAATATCTGAATATGGTTAAAAATTATGCTCCCAACAATCCAAGTCCGAATTGATTCCGAATCTAACCCAATTAGATACTCAATACCTTTGCCTTAATATGACCTTCAGATTAATACTTCAGGCAGTTAAATCTGCTTCAAAGCTTTGGAGGGAATAATGCGTACCGTTTAGTAGTAATTGATTGTATTTAATCACAATTGAGTCAACATATCGAAAGTTTTGAAGAAACATTCATAATAGTGATTGAGGCATTTGATTGGAAAAGTGTCGTTGTTAATTAAAAACAGTGGCCCACTAACCAAAACACGTACTTTTAGATATTAGAGTAGCATGTAGGCAAAGAAAAAATATGTTAGTGTCTTCAATTTATTACGGCAACAATACCAAACTCCTAAAACAAACTATATATTATACAAATATATATACATAGGAAGCGGGAGGAGGACTATTAATAATTTAATATTCATCATCCAAGGCTTTTAAAGACACTACTCTTTTTATTCACACATACACTTTACTAACATAGCAAACTATGGAACATCTTTCTGCTCATCGTCGCATCATATCTTATCTTTTTCTCTCTTCTTCGTCGATGCTATTTTTGTGTGTTCTATTCCTTTCAACCACTAATGCTTTAGTGAAACTTCCGGAGAACACGACGGTTCCGGCTATAATAGTGTTCGGAGATTCAATTGTCGATGCCGGAAATAACGACGATCTGATAACGGAGGCTAGGTGCAATTATCCTCCTTATGGTATTGATTTTAGCGGTGGAGTTCCTACCGGAAGATTCTCTAATGGAAAAGTCCCCACTGATATTCTAGGTTTGTTTTACTTTTCTTTGTTGACTAATTTCTTAAAGTGTTATATAACACTAACCACACATTATTTATCTACATATCGAATGCATTAGCTAGCTGTTAATGACTTGCAACCCGTGAATAACTTTATTTCGTACAATAAGGACTTGAAAGTTTAAACACCAACATGCAATTTCTTTTGTCAACTATAAATTAAACTAGAGCATATCATCCTCCACTAGTTTCTTAACATAGGTTTTTCAATATTATTATATTAGTACTTTTTACAAACTTAATTATATAATAGCAGCATTTATTATTGTTTATAAAAAATTATGTGTATCAATAACAAAAACAAGTAAATAGTTGGTTTATCAAATTTTAGAAATATTTTGTTTGGAGAAAATTGATTTTTTACTTGCTATTCACATGTGTCAAGACTATATTACTAATATAACTTATATTTAATTTGGCTATCGTTCTCATTTTTTATTTTTTTCTTTAATTGTTAAACACTATTGTGAAACCCTTCAAGATATAAATCATTGTTCCCTTAAACACCATTTGCAATTATAATCAAATTATATTATATTTAGATAATATTATTGTTTTTATAGCGGAAGAATTAGGGATTAAACCAACTATACCGGCATACCGAGATCCTAATTTAAGACCAGAAGATCTCCTAACCGGTGTAACATTTGCTTCGGGTGGTGCTGGTTATGTTCCTTTGACAACACAAGTAGCGGTATAGCTAATCTCCACTTCTTATGTTATAATTTTATCTAATATTCTTTTTGTATTAACTATTAGTGTTTTTTTTCTTTTTAACCGTTAAAGGGAGGAATACCATTATCGCAACAACTGAAATTTTTTGAAGAGTATATAGAGAAATTAAATGGAATGGTGGGACAAGAGAGGACAACGTTCATAATTAAGAATAGTTTGTTCGTTGTTATATGTGGTAGTAACGATATCGCAAACAACTTCTTTAGTCTCCCTACGTCTCGGATCCAATACGACGTCGCTTCTTTCACTGCTCTTATGGCCGACAATGCTCGCTCATTTGCCATGGTAAAGACAAATTTATTTAGGACATCATTAGTGACAATTTCTCAGAAAAAATTCACAATATAGATTAGTATTATAATAGATGAATATTCTAAAACTTCTAAAACTACATGTGACAATCTTTCAAATAAGATATTTTGGTATAAATCTGTTAGATTTCTAAGAAACACTACATGATAAGAGACTACTTGAAAAACATTTGATGTGGAACGACTTACTTACTGCTAGTTTATCATAAACTAGGTGTTTTGCCCGCACTTGCGGGCTTAATAATTTTACTAATATCTATAAATAAATATATAATCAATTTATGTAAATTATAATAAATTATAGTTCATAGGCTCAAAATATTTAATAATTATCTAAACAAATTCTTTCTATATATAAAATTTTTCATCATCATATAAATAATTTTCATTACACAACTTATATTTGAAAATACTCATGAAATTAAAACATTTAGTAATAAATTAATATCATTTTTAGACATAACAAAAAAAGTATAAAAAATTATCTTTAATAATGTTTTGGATAACACAATATAAATTATCTATACATAAATTCTTTGAGAATTGATTTTTCATAATTAACTATATATTAACAAATAGAATTATTTTTCAACGTTAATAAAGACTTTATAACACAATATAAAAAAGTTAGATAAAGATAATTATCAAATTCATGAGATTCATTTTTTAATTTAGAATTAATTATATGTTAACAAATATAGTTATTTTTCAAGGTTGATAAATACTTTATCACATAATATAACAAATTAAAATAAGGATAATTATCAAATAAATGAAATTCGTTTTTAATTTATAATTAATTATATATTAACTAATATCATTATTTTCAAGGTTAATAAAGACTTTATAACCAAATATAAAATAGTTTTAGATAAAGATAAATCTAAAATCATTGAAATTTGTTTTTTATTTATGTTTAATTATATTAAAAATTTTAATTATTCATTAAGGATATAAACGATATTACTCACTCTAACTTTCAACGTGAAAGTTACAAATTAATCAGCAAATTCACTTAAATTTTATAATTGAAAATATATTTTTAAGATAACAATCTAATACAAAAGAATTAACATATTTTCTAAAAATATAATATTATTAACATAAATTCGTTTTTATTATATAATAAATTATTAAAACATGAAAATAAAAAAAAATAACCTAAAATCATGGAGAAGTTGACAACTAAGCAAATTTACTTCTCAAATAATGTTATAGATTCATGTTCGCCTTTATTCTCTTAGAGCACCCCCATCAGTGAACCGATGGGGGTGGGGTTCAAACAAAAAAAAAATATTTTTTTTTTATTTTTTCGTTTACTTTTCAAAAAAAAAAAAAAAAAAAAATTTAAAAACGAACCAATCGCGGGCCGCCACGTGGCGTGGGGCCCGCGAAATTCCTATGATACGGGTTCGTCAGGATGAATCTATGAGGGATGGGTTCATAGCATATATGATATTTTAATTGATTTTTCTAGGTTTTTGAACCCATGAACCCCTTTACATACCCCAATGGGCATGCTCTTAGTTCACTAATTACTGTACTATTGTAACTATAGATTATTTCGGCTTTAGGAAATTGTTTTGAAGAATTATATTTGTTTTGTTTATCATGTGATGCTGGTAGACACTCTATGGATATGGAGCAAGAAGAGTACTTATGTTTGGTGCACCACCAATAGGTTGTGTTCCTTCGCAGAGAACTGTAGCTGGAGGACCAACAAGAGGTTGTGTTGTTCGTTTTAATGATGCATGTAAGCTTTTCAATGCTAAACTCTCTGCAAATATTGATGGCTTGTCAAGAACCTTACAAGAGACAACTTTAATATACATCGACATCTATAGCCCTCTTCTTGATATCATTCTAAACCCTCAACAATATGGTAATTCATCATTACTTTTCTTTTTAGTAAGACAATCAACTCTTTTTTAATATATTTTTCATGAATTTTATAGGATTTAAGGTGGGCACTTTAGGATGTTGTGGAACCGGGCTCATAGAAGTGACTGCTCTATGCAACAACTATACAGCTTCTGTATGCCCCGTAAGATCGGATTATGTGTTTTGGGACAGTTTTCATCCCACTGAAACATCTTACAGAATTCTAGTTGCAAAACTTCTTCAGAGATATATTAACAGGTTTTTCTAGGTAATGGATATGCAGCACCTACTTTTTAATATGTTCACCACACTATTTTATGATTATTTGAAATATCATTACCAAAGGCAAATATAAAGTATACTTACAAGTCATTTTGTTCTTTTTCTTGGCTTGTAATTGTCTTTTCAGATACGTTGTGGTTATATAAAAAGTATTCATGTATATATGCTTTGGCCAAAAAATATATTTTTCCACAAAATATTATTGGTACCAATAATGAAGGTTGTCGCTGGTCAGAGAACCCCTGACAGAGACCAAACTTACTCCAAGGATCAAACAACTAAGAAGAAAAACTACCAAAAATTATTAGACCTGTACAGAATCGCTAAGAAGATGTTCGGGAGAAAGACGCAGCATCAGTGACCGGCGACCATAAATAAAACACAGATGACGGTTAAATGGAGTACAAATAAAAGAGAAAAGAATCGCTGGCATTTAAAAGTTATTCTAAGTTTCTGAAACACTGATGCTATTGATTTATGGCCTCCCCATGTTTGTTTCTGAAAGTTTAAACTAACACACGACTAAATCCAGCTAATCTTTCTTCAATTCCATGCTATAGTTTTGATTGTTGACGCTAGTCTCAGCGTTTGCTCGCTGAATCTTGGTCGGGGTATTCGGTGATGGTCATTGGACCCTCACTCTTGTTACATAGATGTGCAATATTTTGTGTTTTGGGACAATGTGTAAATCATGGTCAGAGTGTTGTAGTTCAACCAGAAAACTCTAATCAAAATATAAAAATTATAGATTAATCGATTCATAATTAGGATGAAACTAATATTACGTTTATTCTATTAAACCAGAAATATAATATGAAATTAATGTTCACTTAATGTGTGACTTATGGAAAATTTCACTGAAACTAAAACTACTCACAAAGCAGACGAAAGCCGTTCTCATCGTTTTCTATACATGCCACTATTTATCAGCAATCTGGAGGATACTAGTGTCAGGTATGAGGTATCCTTTCAGCACAACACTACCATATGGGAAAGAAAACCTGGATATCATGTACTCAACACTTCTTATAGGAACAAATATGTTTCTATTCAGATACACACTTCTAGCAGCTCTCTGTATCACATATGGAGAGAAAGAAACTGCATGAAACATGGTGACGAGCCAAGACCAGCAGGTTTAATCATCAAGTTGATAGACAAAAAAAATGTGAGGAACATGCTTCACTCAATCAAGATAGCTGGTATCCAAAAGCACGATGATGGACTCCATCAATGGTAACAAAACAAGTCTTCCACATGGGAATCACTCATAATGTCTCTCTTTTCCTAAGATGAAAAAAAATTGATTTCACCATAGATTCAAGTTGCATCTGATTGTAAATAAGGTTTTTAAGATTGAATATAATTTTACATTAAAAAAGTTCCAAGATGTTAATATATCTTTAAGCTTTTATATCTATAACTATATATTATCTAAAGATAAGTATTAAAATATTTTTTTAAGAAATTGTACTTATAAAACAAATTCGGATCTACAAGCACCAAATAGATTTTGGATGCATCTTTCTACAAATGGTTGAGAAAAATTGGCCGAGGGCCGAGTTGGAGAAGAAAGCCGTAATAAGGATAAGGTACAAGGCTGACAAGAATAAATAAGCAAAGACATAACCGAAATATATTCAATGCAGATCCGAAAGCACTCCAAAATTTTTCTTCGTCGGAAAAAGAAACATGACCACTAGTGCTTGAAATATGGGTCATTTTTCTCATTCTATTTGACCTGCTACGGAGTGGATGCGGATTTATCGATTTAAAATGTTAAAAATGTGGGTGTAGGTTGAATCAATTTTAAGTGAAACGGTGCAAATCGATTGAATTTGAGTTGCGGTTGCCTACAAATCAAAATTAAATAATTAAAAATTAATAAATTTTTTAAAATTATATAATTTATCAATAGTTTCTATTACAAGTATTTTCTAATATTAAAAAGAATTAATATATAATAAAAACAATTATTTTATTAAAGTTAATTATCCGTGGATTACCGTAAATTTCGGTGAGACAGGTACGGGTACACACTTTGTTCTTCACTGATTATACAGATTGGAATTTCAAATAAAAATATTCGACATGGGAACTACTGGGTCAAGTGGGGCGGGTTGACCGGTGAACCCAGTCCTAATAACCACAAAGCGAAAGTGGGAAACAATTTAGCACAAGGCCCAGTTAATTCTGTTCAACACAGGCTGAAGAGTTCTCCAACGTCTTTTCTTCGTCGGAAAACAAAAGCCTTTTTTTCTTTCTTCTCCAACTAAACTCTTCACTTAAAAATGACACAAAGCTATACAAATTTTAGTACACACTGCCCACATAGCTGATACTGATAACTCATAAACAAATAACTCACTCAAAATTGCAATGTTAAACGCATGCAGCTTTGTTTTTCAACACTCCATTAAAACTCGAAAATATCATAGGCCCATCATTTGCCTCGACTAGTTCGAGCTATAATTCTCGAACAACCAATCAATAAGAGGTCAACAAAAAAACAGAATCGTGGTTTTCTTCATTTTTGACTATGAAACAATTGGCTAAAACCTAGATAGGCAATTGGTGATAAAGTAAGGCTAGTTCGACTGGAACAATAAAGAAGGAATCAATTGCATGATTACTTTTCAAAAAAAGATTGCATGATTAGGTGTAATTTAAGAGCAAATTATACTCTTAGACTCCCTCTGTTTTAGAAGGTTTAGATTGTTTCAAAATATATAATGTTTTAAGATTTTAACTTTTAATTTTTTGGAAGTTGTTCAACTAATTAGATTTTATAATTTCTTTTATAATTGGTTAAATGATTTTAAAATTATATTTTTAAAGTGTTTTCTTTGAAAAGTATTTTTTTAATTTTTATGCATTAAGGTAAAACATCAAATATTATAATACAGAAGGAGTATTATACTACATTTAGCCTCTAATAATATAAGGATTATATTAACTTCAGTATAATACTTATAAAAATAAAGTTAGTAACTATTCTTAAGGTAGTAACTCTTCTTAAGGATTATGTTCTTAAGTATATTTTAATGTGATTTAAACAATTTTGTGTTCTTATAATTAGAAACTAAAGTTTGATCCGCTCGTCCAAACGGATGTCTGTTTTTTAAATTTATAAGTAATAGCTGTCTTCATGATTAATAAAATAATGGCATATTATTATATCCCTTTTATTATTTCAAATTGTCATTCATATATATCATATTTTTATGATATTCTTATTTTATTTGTTCTTAACTGGAGTTTTAGGTTAGAGTGTATAATAAATTTTGAATATTATTTGTATCAGTAATTTATATCTTAGTAAATTTGGTACTTGCATGTATAGTTAAATTTTAAATTCTTAGCAATAAATAATTAATCAATTATGTAAAAAAATATTTTTTTGTTTAATATTTAAAATAATCATGTACACTAAAAAAACATCTAAACTAATAAACTAGGTTTAATGAGATTTGTTATTTTGATTTATAATTTGAGAATGATAAATGATTGAAAAACATAATATTTTTGGCTTAAATAAATATGTAAACCCACTCAGTATCTCATGTTTTAGATAGATTTATTTAACTATCTATATATGAGGGATTTTGTAAACATTATGTTCACAAATATTAGGATATTTCTTCCACGTATGAATATATTCTTCACATATTAACAAAATTTGTTGTTTTGTACAACGATTTTTGTTATGATTTATGTGTTTTGTTTATATATTATTTTGATTATACTTGATATATGTGATTCCATTTTGAAAAATATGTCAAGTTGTTTTTAGATCTTCTTATATCACTCAAATATTTATCTATAATATAGTTTTAACTATGTTAAATGTTGATATATAGTTTTATAAAAAAATATTTTGAGAATGTCAAAAATTACTATTTAAAAATATTTATAGATAGTTGGTATTTATGTATTTTGGTATTAATCATAGTTTAGATAATATGTTTTATCTAAGACTACGAAGAATAGTATTTATAGATAGTTTTTCACAAATTGTTATCTTTCCCAGTATACAATATATTTTATCATTAATTAGTTAGAAAATATAATGTTATATGTTTGTTTTGAATGATGAAGAAACAATGAATGCTAAAATTTAGGAATATTTAGTCTTAGTGGAAAAACTTGTAATTCTAATTTGAACGAAAGGCTAATTTATTTTTGTATTTCAATCTGAATAGGATTGATTGAAATCAAAATCAAATTAAACCCAAACAAATTCCAAAATTAATGTTTTTTTTAAGTTAAGGTTTTTTCTAAAATTTGAATCCAAACAAATTCAATTTTATTTTAGATATAATTATTTTTTTTGGTCAAACTTCAGATATAATTATCTAAAACTAAAAAATAAACTAAAGACAACAGAAATTTGGATTAAACATTTTCTGACTATGTATTCTACGTTGGCTATGATAAAATCTTGGACTAAATGATATTATTAGGGTGTTCGACCAGAAAAAAGTTATTATGAGGGTGATTTAATATCTTTAGCATATTGGACCTACTCATAAATGATCAATTTAATTTCACACAATTAATGAAGGGTTATCAAACCGAATTTCTTAAAAATCAATAAATGGCTTCACTTTTTTTGTCTTTACTGTACGTGGAACTAGTTATACTACAGCACTTCAAGTTTGTCGCTGTCGAGTTATTACATAATATATCGTTGCAACTGCGATACATTATGGCCGGGGCATATCTTCGGCCATATATGGATACCATAGACTAGTATAAGATGATCCCATAACCAATAGCTATAGGGCCATCTATATAATAAATTAACTGCGTTGGTTTGTAAACTTTTCTGGCGGAATCAAATATTTGTGAATGCCACAATATTTATCCTATTTCAGCGCTATATAACTACTTCAATTCACAATCTATTAGTTTTCTGCTAAAAATAAGACTAATAAACTGAAATTATTTCAAATTTTATTCAAAAAAGCTGTAACATACTCTTAGTTAACGGAAAACTTTAATGTACGCACATTTTTGCCTTTTTTACGCATTATTTTCTGATAGTCACAATTATGTTAGATAGTGGTTGGGCGATATTCTGGTTGTGTCAATCATTAAATTAAGTAGCCTTGTCATGTATCTTACTCTCACTTAGCTTGATCTTTCGGATAGTACTTGAGCGCTGCCATGCTATTTATAATGTATGACTGTTACATTTGGACCAACGTTACCCAAACTTTTTTCCATTAGTATATTTTCACAAGTTTTACTTCTTAATGTCCCTTGTGTGCCTTTTATATCACATGCATATATAGAGAAAGCTACCTTCTTCACATCAAGTTTTGTGGTAGTATCATCTGTTGCGTGTGATTCACATACCTACCGCACGCCTTTGTTAAAATTTTCATCTAATCGTATTTAAGCTTGTTGAGTCAATGAGTCACTTTTTTAAAGAACTCTAAAAAGTAGAATATGTTACAGAAGAGACCAAAAATGATACCAACAATATCTTATATATTGTTGAGTTTGATGGGGCTGTAGAAGTCTTGATGCATTAACTATGATGACCTACAAAGTTGTAGTTTGGTAACAATTTAATTAGGTCACATGCTCAAAGATTTAAGTTTAATTATGAGATTCCTTAGTTAATAAGTTCTTAGCATTTCAACGTAGCCTAGTTGTCGTATGGGACTATAGTATACATTTGGTCTGATATTTACATTGATCTTATAACGGTACAGTTTGTTGGTTTAATATATTAATCATAAGAAATTATGTTGGAGCCATCAACAATACTTATAGTAGCGCATGTAAAAATAATAGCATTCAAAATTTAAATTAAGCCTTTCAACCGAATTAAATAAACTTTATAAAACATTATTACATACAAAATATAATTTGACAATACTTATAGTAGTGTATGTAATGATGTTTTATAAAGTTAATTTAAATTTAATCTAGGATGGATTGAAATATATATATATATATATATAGTGTATTTTGTTTCTTTTTTTAAAATATTAAATATATAATAGCACAATTTTATTGGTTGATGAATATAGATGTTCATGAGTGAACCAAGAATAACTACCCGGCTAATTAGAGTTGAAAACATTAGCAATATTATTATAGTAATATATACATGCTCCTTGTCACAATATGCTGGCATTACGTGTTAGGCACTAATACTTATGTCGTTAAGGCAGCCTGTTATTAGAAATAAAACTGGTATGGTTGAGAGTTTGAGATTAAATTAAGTACGCTATCTCAGTTGTTTTCTACGCTTGAACTTGTTGTAATACCATAACTATCTCTAGTTATCTACAAATATTTAAATCAACTGGTTAAGTATATCTTTGTCAAAGTTCAAAAAAAAAAAGTATATCTTTGTCCGAAGTCTACCACAAGTCCACAACATCTTCACCACGCAATGCAATATATATATCTACATGTTTCTCTATATATAAATAAGAGTGATAACATAGAAGAAAAGTTTATATAGTTCTCTGTGTCCTGGTTACTGTAAAGCTTCAAATAAAAGTTCTCTTCTTTTATTTTTACATTAAAGCAAACATGAAAAACAATACAAGCTGGTCTTGTTCTTGTTCTCTCTTGAAACTATGTCTGGTGTTCATTCTCTTTCTTAGTGATACCGTCGTCGCCATCAAGCTGCCGCCAAACTTGAAGATTCCAGCTCTAATAGCTTTCGGAGACTCCATTGTTGACACTGGAAATAACAACAATGTCAAAACCGTAGTTAAGTGTGATTTTCATCCTTATGGTATCAATTTCCAAGGTGGAGTTCCCACCGGGAGATTCTGCGACGGGCGAGTTCCTGCCGATTTGCTAGGTCCATTATATTGATTTTATTCATTGTTAGATATATTACTTTTCAGCTCTAATACGCAGTGTTGAGCTTAAGATTTATGGGTCTGAAAACAATTACTATATATATATATATATTTTAGCCAAATGATATATACACATTAACCACTAATATTTTAAGTGTCATAGGTGAATATTTCATCTTGCTATACCCAAAACCGTTTCTGGTAACGCGTAAAAGTAGAAGTCAACCGAAATATAGGTTCTCACATTTATATATAACGACCTTTAGTTATTACGACACAAGTGAAGTAAGTGACGACGGCAAATTATTTGAGCAATTATTTGTCTCTCTTTTTTTGTTCAATTTTGGGATGTGGTTAAAGATAAGGCTAGTAACTAGGCCTGGGCATTTTACCCGGACCCGAAGACCCGAACCGGAACCGACCCGAAAATACCCGACTCGAACCCGACCCGAAAATTTACAAGTACCTATTGGGTCTAAATTTCTTTTACCCGAATAGACCCGGATCCGAAAAGACCCGACCCGAATAGATCCGGACCCGAAAAGAACCGACCCGAATAGACCCGACCCGATAAGAACCGATTTGTACCCGAGTTATAAACATGTATATCCAAAACTATTATTTTTGTGTTATGTTTTATATATCTATACTATTTTATAATTTAGTTGAAATATATTTTGTTAACAATATTTATTATTATTTGTAATATTTTTAAGTAATATAAGGTTTTAAAATGTAAAATTTAGAGTTTAAAAATGTTTTCTTTAATTATTAATAGTTTAAATTAAGTTATTTTATAAAATTCTAGATATATATGAAAAATATTGACTGAATTTGAGTGAGTTTGAACATGTTATGTATTTTTTAGATTCTAAATACCCGGATCCGATCCGGACCCGATATGAATCCGAAAATTACGGGTATTTTATAAGTATTGGAATTATAGACCCGAACCGACCCGGACCCGGCAAGACCCGACCCGGACCCGACCCGAAAAATCATAGGTACCCATATGGGTCTAAATTTCCAAGACCCGAAAGACCCGGACCCGACAGGACCCGGCCCGAACCCGACCCGAGGACCCGGATGCCCAGGCCTACTAGTAACATTGACTCGATAGACAAAAAGAAACATTGACTCGATATGAATAACACATGTCAGGAAAGTTAAGTAGTGTTCCACGATAATACTGATTTTTTAAAGTCGAAAATAACGCTATATATATATATATATATGTCTTTAATGTTTCTTCTTATTTGCAGCCGAGGAAGTGGGGATAAAATCAGTTGTACCTGCATATCTCGATCCAAATTTAAAGCCGGAAGATCTGTTAACCGGTGTATCATTTGCGTCGGGTGGTTCTGGTTACGATCCTATAACACCCAAACTCGTGGTAATAATAAATATATAAATGTAAACTGGCGATCTTCAGATCTATGAATTATTTGATTTGATTTACCTAGCTAACTTGGTCTCACTTGTGTTTGTTGATGATACTAGGCAGCAATATCATTACAAAAGCAGTTAAAATATTTTGAGGAGTACATAGAGAAAGTGAAGAGTTTAGTTGGGGAAGAAAGAAAAGACTTCATATTAGCCAACAGTTTGTTCTTATTGGTCGCTGGCAGCGATGACATAGCCAATACTTACTATGATCTTCATGCAAGACCTCACTATGACGTCGATTCCTACACTACTCTTATGGCCAACTCTGCCTCCGATTTTGTGAATGTAAGGTTATCCCTTAATTTAGATAAATATGTATATATATTCCACAATGCGTATATGTTTCTAGGAAAGTAGTGTTGAAAGAGTAAACAAAAATAACCATTTACAGTTTACCGATGAGCCATAAAGAACGTAAAACATATGCTAACAGTAGTAAAAATCTATGAGAAGTTATTATTCAGGTGATTAATATATCTTCTATTTATGTCATATAATCTTTTATGACAATGGCTCAGTAAATTTATAGCATAGTATTTTACAGCATGTTTAGATTGGAAGAATTATGTAACTATGGCTTTTTGAAAATTACTGTAATAGTATTTTTAAATACTATCAAATTAATGGCCACACACCAGTTATCACCTTTCATATCACTTTAGGGTTAGTTTTCAGAGGTTCACACATTTTGATTTCGCTGAAGGACAATCATATAGCAAAAATAAAATACTACTAGATATTTTATATATTTCCGTGACACATCCCTTTTAAGGCATTAATAATGGGCGTATCATGTATAGACTGATCGATGATGTGTCTCATGCATCTTTTATCCTTCTCATCTCTGATAAAATAGGTAATTATGTGTGCGTTGAGTTTTCTAACGTTTGTTGAATTGATATTAGCTATTTCATTTAATATAATGATAGAAACTATACGGATATGGAGTGAGAAGAATAGCTGTGTTTGGTGCACCACCACTTGGTTGTATCCCATCACAGAGAACCTTAGGAGGAGGTCTTTTGAGAGAATGTGCAGAGTATTACAACGACGCTGCAAAGCTTTTTAATTCGAAGATCTCAACAAAATTGGATTCACTGCGTAAAACTGTACCGGGTATCAAACCGGTCTACATTAACATCTATGACCCACTTTTTGATATCATCCAGAATCCTGCAAAATACGGTAATTTAATATCCAAATTTACTTCAGTATGAAAAATGTATGAACTTTAAATTTATGATTGGATTATTGTAGGATTTGGTGTGTCTAACAAAGGATGCTGTGGAACTGGAGTCATAGAAGTTGCTGTCCTGTGCAATAAAATTACATCTTCAGTGTGCCCCGATGTGTCTAGCCATGTCTTTTGGGACAGTTATCATCCCACAGAAAAGACTTACAAAGTTTTAGTCTCGCTGTTGATTAACAAATTTGTTGATCAGTTTATCTGAACTAAAAACTATTTTCACTTAGTAATGATTGATTATATATCATAATATTTTGTTTGTAATATGTGAAACTGTATTCCTGCTAAATAAATTAATATTTTTCTTGTTGTTTCATTTGTATTCTTTGGAATTATCAGTTTAAATTTTTCTACACATATTAGTATATTACTAATCTAGTAGCTCCATTCGCTCCAATCGTTGCTAGATATATGGTGTCTATATCCAACTCTAAAGACCTTAAGCAGGAGAAACACAAACTGACCGAGCTAGAGATCTTGGAGCTAGCAGCTTAAGAAGCAAAAGGACAGTGCGGTGGTTTTTTTCTTTCTCTGGTCTAAAGTGACTACACATTCTCAAATTCAATAGTAATTGTATTAAAAGCATTATTCCTTTTTGTATTTCTCATCAGAATTATGGAATTGTTATCTTCGTAAAACATGCTGACATTCATGATCATGTTTTTACTCACTACTCCATCTAACAAACAAAGAAAAAGGTAGTATAGTTATAAAACCACATGTTTTTATACTACTGACATGAGTTCACAAGCACTATCAATTGATATCTCTATACAAAAGTTAACTTAACCTTAGAATGTGTGGACAAAAGTTTGATGTTAGCAATATATTTCTTATCAACCGAACCTGCTAATGATATTGCTGCATGTATCTTAACCTTAGTATACGTGTAAAAGTGATTTCCGATATTTATTGTCGAAATGAAGTAAACTTGTATGGATTAAAACTCGTAGTTCAGAATCTATGAAATTAAAGAAAGCAATACTTCAAAAAATGTTTCTCAGAGGCAAGACCAGAGAAAATATCCGTGTGAATATATTAAAATAATGTGATTTAATTTCACACAATCAACTTGAACGTGTTAGGGCATCCACAATGGTGGATCCCAAATTGGGGTCCTTAGGTATTATTGTTGCCTTTTTTTTTTTTTTTAATTTTTTGAATAGTGAAGAACTCTTGTCTAAAAGTTGTGTCCAATGGTGGACTCCAATTTGGGATCCTTAAAAAAAAAAAAAAATTTTATTTTTAAAACATGAGAAATTTTACAATTTTTATTAATTGCATGATTAACTAGAAAGATACAATATTTATTAAACTTGATCACGAAATTTCATCCAAATATTTTCGACCAAATCGTATTTCAAATGCTCATGAATTCGCCGATCGCGAAGATCTTTCCGGATGGCAAGCACATTACCGAGATTTGATGGAATGTCGGTACCATACGACATATCCACCCGTGAACTCCTTGATGACTCCCCTTCTTCAAATTCAGATGTATCGTACTGAGTGTGACGATCTCGTTCATTTTCGACAATCATATTGTGCAGAATGATACTTGCTCTCATAATGTGCCCAATCTTTTCCCTATCCCATGAAAGAGCCGGGTTTTTCACGATCGCGAACCTAGCTTGCAATACTCCAAAAGCCCGTTCCACATCTTTTCGGGTTGATTCTTGAACTTGAGCAAATAACTGTGATTTAGGATCTTGAGGGAGTGAGATCGATTGGATAAATGTGGACCATTTTGGATATATACCGTCAGTGAGGTAGTACGGNTCTTTTCCCTATCCCATGAAAGAGCCGGGTTTTTCACGATCGCGAACCTAGCTTGCAATACTCCAAAAGCCCGTTCCACATCTTTTCGGGTTGATTCTTGAACTTGAGCAAATAACTGTGATTTAGGATCTTGAGGGAGTGAGATCGATTGGATAAATGTGGACCATTTTGGATATATACCGTCAGTGAGGTAGTACGGCAAATTATACATGTGTCCGTTGACGACGAACTCTACCCGGGGAGCTCGACCGTGTATAATATCATCAAAGACGGGAGACCGATCGAGGACATTAATATCGTTTAACGTACCTGGAGGACCAAAAAAAGCGTGCCATATCCAAAGATCTTGTGAAGCAACAGCCTCCAAGACAATTGTCGGTTTTGCCGAACCACGGGTGTACTGTCCTTTCCAAGCGGTTGGGCAATTTTTCCACTCCCAATGCATACAGTCAATGCTTCCTATCATTCCCGGGAACCCGCGTATCTCTCCAATATCAAGTAGTCGTTGGAGATCCTCACCGGTGGGTCTTCTTAGATACTCATCTCCAAATAACTGTATTACTGCTTTTGTGAAATGATGTAGACACGAAAGAGCTGTGCTTTCACCGAGTCGGAGATATTCGTCAACTGCGTCAGCCGCTGAGCCGTAAGCAAGAAGCCGAATTGCAGCCGTACATTTTTGTAGTGGAGACAGGCCAAACCTCCCAGTTGCATCTTGTCTTTGTTGGAAGAATAGAAAGTTCTCTGAGAGGCGTTGGACAATACGCAAGAATAAATCCTTGTTCATACGGAAACGGCGTCTGAACATGTGTGCCGGGAATGTCGGATTTTCGCTAAAATAGTCATTCCATAACAGGTCGTGTCCATCTTCGCGGTTCCGTTCTATATAACCACGTCTTGTTGACTTTTTGGGTTGGGCCTCAACGATGCGGTCGAATGTTTCATCGATTATATCGTCAAAAACATTGTCCAATCTCTGATCAATTTCATCAGATGAAACTGACATTGTCCTACAAAAAAAAGTCGAATTAAGTGACAAAATTTATAAATTCTTATACACAAAGTACTCATTTGCAATTTTAAAGTTAATGATTCTACAAAATATATATTTGTTATATAGTAATATGATGTTCATTTATTTAGGCAGAGACTCATTTGTGATTTATATAGTAATGATGTTTATATATACGATTCTATAAAGTTATCTTTATACAAAATTTATGATTCTATAATAAGATGCAGAGAAAGCATGACTATATGCAGAGAACATAAATAGAACTTATTTGACAACCGATTACAGAGAACTTGGACTTGAAGAACATATAAAAACAAGTATTTGCAATGTACACAACCTAAATAGAACTTATTTGACAACCTATTACAGAGAACTTGGACTTGTACCTGTCTCGACAAGGATAGCAGTGCAGATGCAAGAAAGTAGAAGCAAAGTTTGATAGAGATTAGAAAGATAAAGTAGGTTACAAAGAAGGTTTGATAGAGATTACAAAGAGAACTAGTACACTACAACTGAAAGGAAACTTAACGCTACAACAATACATATATAGAAGTGCAGTGAGAGCAAAAAACCCGTGACTTCTCCACTGCAACATCCATCCGTGACTTCTACACTTCAACATCGACCCGTGACTTCTCCACTACAAGACAACCCCCCGTGACTTCTCCACTGCAACCTGCCAATAAAAATAGAGAGATATTAAAATCAACATATATACAAGAGATATCATAAATAGAAATGCACCGTGACTCACACATCATAATACAACAATACAAAGTTCAAACACATCATCATCATAACATCTCAGTCATCAGTTTGAGCTTGAGAGCTTCCTCAATCTCAGAAAGCGGGTCCTTCTTAGCAATTAAGCTCTCAAGTAGTTTATGTTTAGACACTTTCTCTTTCATCTCCAACAAGGCCTGTAACTTATCCATCTCCTCATCTTTCCCACCCTTCTTCCGCTTCAACGCCGCCTTAGCAGCCTTTACACCAGGTGGTCTACACTCTGCCTCCTCTACATCAACCGCATAAGACGGTTTGCGCTTATCTTTCCCACTGTCTTTACTCGCATTTAGGGAGCACCATTTGGCATCATACCTCAGCTCCCTCCACGCATGCTCGAGGTGAAATCTAACCTCATTATCACTGAAGAACATATCCAGTGCAGCATTCATCACATCATCATCATTACGTCCGCTCTTCGGGTCACGCAGTGTGGCATCATAGCACCCAACAAATTTGGAGACGTGGTCGTTGATCCGGGACCACCTCTGCTTGCACTGCACATGCTCCCTAGGTACTTTCCCAGCGACTAAAGGACTTGCGTTGAAGTAATCAACTATCCGCTTCCAGAACGCAGGAGCCTTCTGGTCATTGGCAACGATGGGATCTTTACTCGTGTTTAGCCATGCCCCGATGAGGAATTTATCCTCCTTGGGAGTCCACTTCCTCCTCTGACCACCAGAGTCAGTAGAAGCTTGGCCACTGAACCAAGTTGGTTCGTCTGTGTCAAGATCAATGCTATGTTGGCTATTGAGAAGGTTTACATAACTAGAATTCATATTCATTTTAGAGGAGGATTTATGTTTAAGCTCTCGTACTTGGAAGGACTTAAATAAACAAAATATAACCATTCAGAGTTAGGAAGGTGGAATAGTAGTAAGTGGCATTTAAAAGCAATCCAATCGAAGGGGTTAGGAAGGTGGAATGGTAGTAAGTGGCATTTAACCAAGCTATAGGACACTCTACTTGAACCAAAGTGTCTTTAGGTACACTCTACGCAACAGGTTAACATTTAAAACCTATCACATCCGAGAAGGTGGCATTGAATAAGATATTCTTTAGACTAACTATATATATGTAGTTAGAGTAAATATATATTTGTAGTTACGTAACTATATATTTGTAGTTAAGAATAAGTTTTATTAAGTTTTTAATACAATATTTCAGCAGTTTTTAAAGTAGTTTAAAAGTAGTTCCAATACATTTGTAGTTAAGACTAAGTTTGTAGTTAATAAGACTAAGTTTTATTAAGTTTTTAATACTATGTTTCAGCAGTTTTATTAATAAGTAGTAGTTTGAAAGTAGTACCTTTTACACAAGAATTTGGTGGTCAGAGACTCGCTTTTATCCGTGTAAGCCAAACCTGCACTTAGAAGAAGGGAAATTAGCAGAAATAAACTGAACATTTCAATTAAGGAAAACAAGCTGAATGAAATAAACTAACCAGCCAGCAGCAACGACACCTAGTAGAGTTCCCAGAGCAGAAACACACAAGACAAATCCCTTCGTTAGACATGGTTTCCTCTTACCAGACTCGGACAATGTCTTCACAATCTTCATCAGCTTCTGGTCAGTCTCAAAGGCTTGCTCCTTCACCATACGAACTTGCCTCTGAATGTCACTCAACTCCTCCAATACGGCCACATCAAGCCATTTCCAGATATGGCATTCTCCATCTTCGGTATTGACACACGTGAAATACCTCCTCCCTGGATCCTTTGACGTGTANACTTGCCTCTGAATGTCACTCAACTCCTCCAATACGGCCACATCAAGCCATTTCCAGATATGGCATTCTCCATCTTCGGTATTGACACACGTGAAATACCTCCTCCCTGGATCCTTTGACGTGTAAGCCGTTGCAACAACCGGCTCAGCCCCACAGTAGCATGTCTTTGGGACTCCGTCATCACACTCAGGTTGAGGTGCATACTGATCAGGCACCGCATTAGTCTCTACTTCACCTTCGCCTTGGAGAAGACAGCCATATGCGAAATCGTACTCATCTGATGAGGAGGGCTGTGTGTAACTGTAATCTTGACCCATATTACCTGAAAAAAGAAACAAGTTGAATCATTAAAAATGAATTATATATACTCATATTTCAAATGACACAATTAAAATGTAGAGGCGCTTATTTATGATTTTTTTTGTTACTCCAAGTTTGAAACACACACACACAAAAGCTAAATGACAATTCGGAGCAAAATGAACAGAGCTAAATTCTAGCTTTTCTAACAATGAAGACATGTTAAAACGTGTTTCAAACTTGGAGATAGAGTGACACAACTCCATAAATAAAGCCTTGGAGGATTTACGGAAGGATAAAACCCCAAATGAAGAATTCGGAATCGATTAAAACGAAGATCGTTTGTATAACCCCAAATCAGAAGATACCGACCCCTAGGAAATTCGATTCACGAACCCTAATTAGTAAAAGCGGAAACCCTAAAATTTCCCCCAAATCGATTTCGGAATCGATTAAAACGGAGATCGATTGTACAAACCCAAATCAGAAGATACCGACCCCTAGGAAAATCGATTGACAAACACTAATTACTAAAAGCAGAAACCCTAAAATTTCCCCCAAATCGATTGCAAAACTTTTTAAACCCTAAACACTGAATTTCATCGAATACCAACAATTAATCAACAACATGAAGGTAGATACTTACGATGATTAAGAGATTTGATCGGATTCGAGTGGCTTCGAGGGGATTCGAGAGGATTCGAGAGGATTTCGCCGAAATCGCCTTTTCTCTCTTCAGCTTCTTTTTTTTATCGGAGATGATCGAGAATGATTGGTTTTTTTTTCCTCGCGAACCAAACCGATTTCTCGCCCCAATCATTCTACGCCACGTCGATAAGGACTCGTCCTGCAAAGTACCAATTTAAGGATTGCTCCTTAACATTTCCTCTTTTCAAAACGGAGCCTCGCACGTGTGGAGCACAAATCGAGACACAAGGACCCCGACTTTCATACCGTTGCGGCTGCTCTTAGAGCCTCCAATGGTGTTACCACCACTGGAGTCCTATTAAAAAGTTAATTTTTTTTTAAATAATTAAGGACTCTAATCCAATATGTGTGTCCAATGGTGTTATCTATTATAAAGTCCTTATAAATATAAAATTATTAAAATTGTAAAACATTTAAATTTAATTTTATTTATTTATTGAATGATTAAATTTAAACATACAATAATTATACATCATCATCACTACCAAACTTGTTCTAAATATTTTCAACAATCGTTTTTCAATTGTTCATGTTTTTTAAAAAACTCATTTGTAAGTACAGATCGTTTTCCTTTTAAATTATTGAAATCACGATATTTATAAAATCTAGTTTTCTATGTAGCAACGCATCAGATCTTTTCCATTAAAGTTTTCTATAAAACTATAAGCAATGAAAAAAGAGATATTCATAAAATCACCATTTAATCTTTTTCACAGGTACACTAGAATACATATGTATAAAATTCGGGAAAGCAAACAAAAAAAAGAATGATTCTTCTCTTCCTACAGCAACTGACATATGTTAAGGATTCAATCCTTGCACACCTTATATAAGGATTCATCTTTAGCTCACAGAACATAGAACATGCATAATATTATTAAACTCTAATTTGCATTGGTTTCAACGTTAAGGATTTACTTAAATCATGTGTTGGACCTGCTCTTGGTGTTCCAAATCCGTCATCTTACCATTCAATACAAGATCTTTTACATGTAAGGGCATCTCTAATCCAACTCCAAATGGAGTAAAAGAGAATATGGAGTAGAAAACACTTCAATCCAACTCTATTTTTCACTCCATAAATGAAATAATCTATTTTTTGTTTGTTCATTACTCCATTATGGAATGGGATATGAAGAAGTGATGTAGAAATTCTACTCCATATTCACTTTTATTCCATTTTGGATGAAAAAAATGGAGTATTATATTGGAGATGTTCTAAGTATGATACTCCTCAAATAATAGTTTTATTTTGATATGTAAAACCGAAAAATTTATGCAGTATCATTAAAATTCAGACAGTTTAACTCCTTTTTGATCTTAATAACTTCACCTTAAACTCACCTAACCAACCCATAATCGACTTGTGTGATATCGATTTGATAAGTTAAAAATTTGAAGTTTTAAAAGGTAAACTGAAATTTATATTTGGTCTAGAAAGTTGTTGGATTCTTCATTTTCGTTTTTAAGTTTCAAATTTTTTTTAAAAAAAATTAGAATATGTTGACCAAAAACATATTTTTCCATTAAATATTTACTTTTATTCATAAATATATCAAATAATCTAAGAAAAATATCAATTTGTGATTCATACTTTTTTTTGTCAAACATAGTTTTCATACGATTGTTCAAGATGGTGCAGTCATACCAAAATCTTCACAAAACGTATAAAATTATCAAATGTAGAATAATATGTAACATGTTTTATATTTTGTAATATCATAATTATGATTATAATTATAATTATGTTACGTCAGAAAAAAAAAAACAGTATACACCCGGATCAAAATAAACTTTAATGAAATGATGACTGTTTAACAAAATTAATAGAATATGATGTTATAAAAAAACGTTAATGAAATGAGGACTATTTCCTTTTTTTCTTTTAATTTGGAGAAATAAAATAAATGATTTCCTTTTATTCCTGATCTTGCGATGACTTCCTAACAATCGACCCACTTATATAAAAAAAAGAAGAAACTTGGGATCTCCCCTTCATCGCCTTCTCTCAGATCATCTCTTACGTTTTCTCACAACCATGTCGACGAAGAAGATCGTGTTGAAGAGCTCCGATGGCGAGTCTTTCGAGGTCGACGAGGCGGTGGCTCTCGAGTCTCAGACCATAGCCCACATGGTCGAAGACGACTGCGTCGACAACGGAGTCCCGCTTCCCAACGTCACCAGCAAGATCCTCGCCAAGGTGATTGAGTACTGCAGGAAGCACGTCGAGGCTGCTGCTTCCAAGAGCGAGGCCGTTGATGGTGGTAGCTCCTCTGACGATGACCTCAAGGCTTGGGATGCTGAGTTTATGAAGATCGATCAAGCTACCCTCTTCGAACTCATCCTGGTTTGTTTGCAATTGATTGATTTAGGGTTTTTGATTTTGAAAATTAGGGTTTCGAAATTTGGGGGTTTCTTTTAAAGATTGGATCTTTGGTGAGATTGAGGTTGTTAGGGTTGTTTTGGGTTCGATTGTGATTTGAATCTGAGATTTGTTAAATGATTTTAGGGTATTCGATTTTGAAGATTAGGGTTTCGAAATTTTGGGGTTTCTTTTAAAGATTGGATCTTTCGTGAGATTGAGATTGTTAGGGTTCTTATGGTATCGATCTTGATTTGAATCTGAAATTTGTTAACTGTTTTGGGGTTTCGGTTTTGAAGATTAGGGTTTCGTTTTCTCGTGTCTGAAATTTAGGGGTTTTGTTTAAAGATTGGATCTTTCCTGAGATTGAGATAGTTAGGGTTATTATAGAGTCAGCTTGATTTGATCTGAGATTTTTGAATTGTTTTTTTTTTTGGATTTTGCAGGCTGCTAATTATTTGAACATCAAGAACCTTCTTGACCTGACATGCCAGACGGTGGCTGATATGATCAAGGGCAAGACTCCGGAAGAGATACGCACGACCTTTAACATCAAGAACGACTTTTCACCTGAGGAAGAGGAGGAGGTGCGCAGGGAGAACCAGTGGGCTTTTGAATGATGTGTAAGAGAGAGTCTTTGTATGGAAGAGGTTGTCGTTGAAGCAGACCAACCAGTTTCTTTATTTTATGTTGTTGTCTTTTTCTGTGGATGATCAGTGTGGATGGTGATGACTTGGTTCCTCTGTTGTTTTTCCATTTGAAATTCGTGACTTTGTTCGTTCCCCACGTGCTTTTATCTTACGGTAAAGAACCAATGTTGAATGTGTGCTTTAATGTCGTCAAGATTGTGATGTTGGTTTTGCCTTGCAAATATCTTGTTCTTGTTCCTTTCCTCTCCCTTCTTATTATCTCTTAAACTGTAGTTCTTGACCTGTTATCTCTTCTTCAGTGCCTGAATTTACCAGAAGATAGTTAGCTCGGCTTTACTTCCTTAGAAGGTTTGTTTCCAGGTGGAGGAAGCAAGTCTCCAAGTAGAGATGGAAACTGAAGCATTGGGAGATTGCTTTGTCGAGTTGATCTCATGTACTGACAGAAGAGTTATCCATTTTAAAAAAAAATTGCTTAGCTAAGCCCCCGAGTTTCAATAATTTCGTCCGCGTCCATGAACCACAGTTTTGTAGTACCTGAAACTGACCAGAAAGATCCCTTACGGATTAGATAACAATGGATCCATTTGACCCGCAGAGATCCCTTAACAATGTTCGTTTCCTTCAATGGCCTTAGTCCCAAAGCCTTCCCTCCTTCTTTGGTAGACATACATCCCTCCAACAAATATTTCCCGCATTTGATGTTTTTAGTTTCATAGGAAAGCTGAACACAATCTCTCTATCTCTTTCAAGCAGCTTCCCGGTAATCTGAAAGATTGAAAACCAAAAATTGGTCAAACTAGTGATAACAGAACTCTGATGAGTGCCTTCCCGTCCATGAGCTCATTCTCTTTTTGATTTTCTCAACCAGAGGCAAGTAGTCAGTAACTGTCATATGCTTAGTAAGGAGAGGAAGTCCCAGATAGCGTACTGGCAATTGACCTGAACTCAACGGGAGCCTGCTCAGGATATCAGTCTCAGTTTCTTCTGAGATACCAGCAGCAATGTACAATGTTAGACTTCTCAAAACTGATATTCAACCCTGATATAGCTGCAACACCAGGTCATCTGCGAAACATAGATGAGACAACTTGATATTCTTACATCTGGGGTGATAGCCCACTAGCCTCCTATCCACGGCTTTGTCGATCATATTGATACAGATAACAAATAAATAGGGAGATAAAGCACACCCTTGCCTTAAGCCTCTCTTGCTTTGGAAATAGAGTTAAAAAGTAAAAAGAATGCATCAAGACGCACAAGGACTCCTGAACATTTCTAGTGGCAATGCTACCATGCTAAAACAGTTGCGGCAATCCCTTTGACTGCAACATCGGAAGAGCATATGTCCATTAAAAGCTACTTAGACAATTAAATAAACATGTAGAAAAACACAAAACGCAATTTGAATTCATAAACCTCAAAGTTGGTCCTTTCTTGAAAACATGTACACCGGTTTTGCCAAGTTGATTGAGCTCCAAGAATTTGGAGCTGGACCTTCCAAAACAGTACCAAGAACACCTAAACCGGTTCGGTTTATTCTTTTTCTGTGGTTTGAAAATAATTGTAACCGGAGGAGTGATAAATAGCCAAATCTGTTATTGTTTGTACTTTCATACAAGTAGAGTCTATCATGAGGGCACAGAAACACTGCAAATACTGCAGACAGAGTAAAAGAAACATAATCATCTTTTTACTGAGACATCATTGAGAACATATTTAGAGCAAGTGAACATGAATCAATCTTGTGCTTAGATTAGAAAAACAGATTTTTGTTATATAGCATAAAAACTCCGTTGCCGGGAATCGAACCCGGGTCGCCTGGGTGAAAGCCAGATATCCTAACTGCTGGACGACAACGGATTGATGATTATGGATTGGCTAATCTCAGAATCTAATTAGTGCATTATGACATGGCTTTGGATACAATATGAAGGGATGAACTATGCACGCCAACCAACGTCATACTGTGCAAACCTTATTTAACTAATCAGCCTGACTTAAACTTGGAAATATCTACAAAAATATAATTTTTAATTTGTGTTTTTAGTTTTCAAAGAGTTTCATGAAGAACATCAAAGTCCAATGACCAAAATGATCTTTGCTTCCAAAATTGTTCAGATAAAACACAGAAGACAACAGTTTTTTAAATACTGTAGAACAACAAGACTGCAATGAACCTCCAAAGTTTTTTACCTAATCAGACTTGAGCCTAATCATCAACTTAAGAGCAAACTCCATCATAGAGACACCTCTTTCTTTTCTTTATATTCCTCCAAAGTTATCAGTGATTCCTTGTTTTTGGTCCAATCTGCAGGTCTTGGCATTATTATCGCAATATATCCTTCGCGGTCAGCCTAAAAATCAGATTTTTTAACCAAAAAAAAAGATGTAATCAAAATACAGAACATCATCAACTACATCAAGACTCGTACATAAAATCAAAGAAATAATGATCAATCCATTTAGAGTTATTATTCTGTGCCGGTTAATTCCATAAGCAAATACTTAACATTGAAGAATAACACTATAGTTCAAATAATAAAGATTCATGGCATAAACATAAAGTGTTCATAGGACAAGTTCAAAAAAGTGTATGATGATAACTCGATTATTTCTCCTAATTCTTACAGATGAATTAAGAAGCTGTGGTTGGTTGATCAACCTCTCATTCACCTCCAAGAGAGAACCTTTAACGCAACACCTAAAGAAAAGAACAAAAAAATATCAATTTTGGCATATGAGAGAAGTTAGAACAAAGGAAAAAGCGGTTGCACCTGACAATATAAGAATCTTTAGCAGTGGAAACTTTGCACAATGCTGTATTCGATTCAGAGCGCATAGCATTCTGCACACAAAGAAGATCATTTTGAACAACAACAACACTAATAAGTCTTAAAAGAGTGAGAGGAAAGAGAGGTAGTAACAAAAGCAAAAAACCTTTTTACGCTTGCCAGAGACTTTCAAGACGCTACGATCAGACTTTCCAACATTGAAATCAATGTTAATGATCCCACCTTCGTCCTTGAAAGCTACATGCGTAGGAGCTAATCCAATCACACACAAACTACACACATACACACAAGCTAATAAAAAACCAAATTTTCAAAAAGAGAGAGGCATAAAGGAAGAGACTTTAGAGATACCCATTAGCGTGACGGTAGATATAGTGATCATGACCTGGTTTCGTGAAATCTACAAACCAGTTGATGAAAAGGGTTTTAGTCATCACACTATCAAAAGGAGTGTTTTTTTTTTTTAAAGATGAATGTGAGAAGGAACCTGTGGTGAAGTAAGAAACGAAGTTGAGTTGTGTAGCTGAAGGAGGAGTAAGAGGAAGGTCTCCTATATCTGAAAGCAGCAGACTTCTCAATTCGTCTTCTTCTTCTTGCGCTTGCTTCTCGCCGTGTTCTACTACTTGCTCAGATTGATTTTGCTTAGTTGATTCGATTGTCTTCTCGAGTTCTGGATTCTTTGCTACCTCCATTATCTGATATAGTTTCAACACACAAAACAAAGGATCGGTTTCTTCTCTAGTTTCGAGTTTGTAACCTTCCGACGGCGGAAAATAATCGGAGTTAACTTTGCTGGTCGTGGAGTAGTAACTAATGGGCCTTATATTTCGTTAATATTCTAAAAAGATAAGGCCCATTTAAATTCGTTCAAAAAGAAAAGAAAAAAACTTATCACATCTTAAAAGGGATAAAAACCTTGTAAGTGACATTTAGTCATTTACACTTTAGACCTTAAAGTTATTTTTACTAGCATTTTAAACCTTCAAAGTGATATTTATATACCAAAAAAATATTAAACTTGAAAATCTTACCTGTTGAATATGTAAAACATATTATTTATTTGAATTTTTTTTTAAAAAAATATATTTAATAAATAAAAATTAATAAATAATCAAAACAATAAATAAAAATCAGAATACATTTTCAAAAAAATTAAAGAAAATTGCAGAACATAAAAAATTATAAAAAATAATTGGAAATACCAAAAATTAAATAAATTCTGGATTAAAAAATTCAAAAAATTAAATGAAAAATAAACAAAAATCAAAAACTAAATTTCAAAAAATTAAAGAAAATTTCTGAACATAAAAAAAAATTAAAAAAAAATTGAAACCATTATCGTCAATAGTGATATTATCAAAACTGTGGTTACCATTCAAACCCTTATTTGAGAACTACAAACAAAAATAAAGCATATCTTTTGCAAGTACAATTAAAATATCAACCTTCATTTTCTACATATTAAAATTTGTATCTTATATAATCTTTTCTTTTTCTTATGTGTATTTTTTTTTCTTTAGTTGTATCTTGTACGTTTTTTCCGTTCCCAATGATACTTTACAAATTTGGTAACATATATACTGATTTGAAAGTAAAAATAATAAATAATAAAATAATAATAATAATAATAATAATAATAATAAATAATAATATAACTCTATTTTTATAAAATTATAAACACGTAAGTACAAAAGTAAGGAAGACAAACCAACATGATCAGATTGAGTCTTTCTCTACTACCAGAATTTCTTAAGCTCCATTTGTCGTCTTTCTAGACTTCTAGTTATTTGTTTTTTTTTCTTGTGATAAGTCTCCTAAGAGCTTTGTATGTGTGATTTGTGATTTAAGGTAAGTCTCTACTATTTTCATTCCCTGAATTATTACCAGCATATTCCTGCAAATTGAAATTATATGTACAATTAAGTTCATTTATTTTAGAAAATATTACATTGAGAGGCAGTTTTATGTTTTTTATAACACAATAGAGCAGTTTGTGCTATCAAGACACTTTTTTCTAACTATATCATATTTCGTTTAGTTTTTCAAGTTAAAACAAAACTATAGACAAAGTAGTAGGACCCACTATCATCTCTCTCTTATCTTCTTCATTCTGAACTTTGTTTTTCAATTATTTTTTAACGTTCGCCGTGAGACAACGTGATATGCAGGAGTCAGACAGCATCATCAAGAATGTGTACTCAACTGTGGTACTCAGCCGTGGTGTTTTGGAACAAAATGTTCAACAAATCAAAAAAAAAAAAACAGTTTTGTTCAAATTTTTGAATATAAAACTATGATTTAAGATTGAAATCTATTAGATCTGGACAAAGTACATAAAAATATGTGAAAGTGTGAAGAATCATGAAAAATAAGTGAAAGAGGCAGAAATTAGGTTTTCTGATCGACAGTGACCAAAAAAGACAAGGTTATATTCGTAATTTTATTAATAAAAAAATAAATAAATAAATTCGTGTGTACACTATCATATTTAACGTACACATGTACACCTCATTATTACACATTTACGCTATTATATCTTATCGTACACACACAATGTGAAGATGAAAATGACAATGAGAATGGCAATGATGTTGACGGTGGTGCTGGTAAATTGAGTATCTGATATGTTAGATATATTATCAAGCTTGCAAATCTCAATTTTTTGCCGTGTGCAGCTTCTGAACTTATATAATGTAAATTTTATTTTATTTTGTGTTACTTTAATGATATACAATATACACAAGTGAAAATATGCACATATACACATATAAGCATGTACATTGCTTTATTGATATACAATATACACAACTGAAAATGTGCACATATACACATAACTGAATTAGGCAAATATGCATATTAGTTTTTTAAGTGTCTAGGTGGTCAATGTATACGTGGTAAAGTGTTCATTTGGAACTTCTGAGCTCTATAAATTTCTAGGTGGCCATTTATGGTGGTTAAGTGATCATTTGACTATTTTGTGTACATGTGTACATATCTTTTTATGGGTACACATAAAGAATGTAAAAACAGTGTCCACATGAAAAGCAATAAAGGAAATTGTAACACACTTTTGATGAAATTGGATACTAATAAGAGAAATTTCGATAAACAATACAATACAATACAATCTCCACGGTTAAAACATAAATTGCACTTGAAACCCGCTTAAACCACCATACTCCCGAAAGAACACACTTGTTCATTGCCTTATATTCAAAAGAGAGAAGTGGGAACTTGTATATTCAGCTCTCTCAGATATGGTGAACTCAAACCTAGCATCCATTCTACCATCATATTTGGAAACAATTACTGAAACATGTACACAATGAATTTATTGTTGTACTTTTTGTACACTCAAGAACAAAGGTATCGAAAAGTACATTCACATTGTGCATGATAATGGCCAGTAAAAAGTAGATAGTTTATAGTATCTATGTGGACAATGCAAAATGTTTACATGAAATAAATTCTCCACATGGATATTCGTATTTGTGTCTACATTTGTAATTACAAACAATTTGTGTAAATAATGTACACATGGACATTTCAAAACATCATGAAATCTTATTCTTTTATTTATTTTCATATCATATTTTAAATGAAATATATGTGTACACAGTAATGATATTTGAACAAATATGTATGTAACAAATTTATCATGTGTACATATGAACAATGATACTAGTAAATGCATATAACAAATTTATCACACGTTCATATTAATCATTTGCATGTGAAAATATACACATATACTTTTTGTACACATGTGAAAATGAACACATGTACACATATAATATGTACATTGTACAAGTTAGCCCTTGTCGATGTCAAAATATGTATACATGTAAATATCTGATAAGATATAATATGTTCCTTGTATATGATAGCCTTTGTCGATGTCAAAAACATGTGTACATGTAAATTTATTTTATAAGTATATGTTAAATACGCGAATACCTTTAGATGTGTTTACAAATTACTAATATAATAGTGTATATATACATTATTATCTATGTGTACGACTTATGGCTGTATACGTATTTTGTTTCTTTTCAATTTTTTTATTTTTGTTTAATGAGTGGCATTTTAGTAAATATATCTTCATCTTCTTTCCCCAGATTTTAGGGTTTCCAGCAACAAGTTTTGTAGCTTCCATTGATTTTTTTCACATAATCTTTCAATCTTTTACTTTTAATTGTAAATTACAAATGTAAAATCGTAAATTTATCACTTTCAATTGATTTTATTTCAAATTTTGAAAATGATTTTTTTGTGAGATTTGGCCATTGCGCTTCATTGTGCGGCTGAAGTGATAACCACCACAGCGGATTCCGGGCATCAGAATCACTTCACAATCAAGTTTGGAGGAGGAATCTCGATGGTGGTCACGAAGTAGGATCAGAAAACATGGTGAAGAAAAGCTCGGGCAGAAATGAAATGATGCACCACGGATCAAGAGGTCGAAGATTGAGATGTAAAAAAGGGTAATAAATATTTTAAAAAATGTAGGACCACTTTAGTTAAAAAGAGATTTTAGTTGACAATGATTTAGCTTATAGTCACAAAAAATTATCTTAGTAGTGATAAGTGACCTATAATGTAATAAAAAAGATAGAAAGTGACTCTGAATGATAAAAACTCTTTATTTTACTATGCAGTATGTAGAGCAAAAACAGTTATATGCTGGAAGAGAAAAAGGGTTATAAAATAGAATGATCATAAATCAGTTTCCACCACCCAATGATCACAACTTCTAAAACTGGTATTCTACTCCAAATCCACAGTATATTCTGCTCTCGGGCGGACAAACAAGGCAATGGGAGAAGATATTGAAAAACACTAATAGTGATAAGCAATGACCAGAATGTTAATTTTGGTCAAGAAAAAGAAAAAAAATTGTCCAAACTTAAGTCTCACTCTCACCACTACAAAACAGTAAAACGGAAGAGGTGTTAAAAAAATTGCCTCGGTAGTTCTCTATTGCAACTCTGAAGAGAAACAGCCACAAACTAAAAAAACTTTGAATCGATTGATAAAACGAGATACACTTATGGCAAGCATGTCGTCTTGATGGACATAAACAAACATATAGAGAAAGCAAGGACATAGAGAAAAAAAACATCCAACGACTTGGCTTTTTTCTTTTTATGTTTGTGTAACAGAAACCTCACTCACATGTCTCAAGCAACTGCCTGGTTTGTTGGTCCATCTGATCTGTTGTTGAATCCACCACCAACACCACGACCTCTTCGTCCTCCCCTTCCACGTCCACGCCCTGTATTAAACCAATTCAAAACTCATTTCACCCAAAACGAAGTTAAAAATAAAAACCGAGTGTTTTTTTACTATTGTTATTACCACGGCCCTGAGGAGCATCGTAACCACCAATATCCTGAGGACCATCGTAACCACCGCGGCCCTGATGATAACCATCATAACCACCACGGCCCTGACGACCACCGTAACCACCGCGGCCCTGACGAGGACCATCATAATCACCACTGCCCTGATGAGGACCATCATAACCACCACGGCCCTGACGACCATTGTAACCACCGCGGCCCTGACGAGGACCATCATAACCACCGCGGCCCTGACGAGGACCATCATAACCACCGCGGCCCTGACGAGGACCATCGTAACCACCATGATCATCATATCCACGGTGTTCATGAGGAGCATCATAACCATAACCTTCATCTTGTGGTGCATCATACTCATTCCGAGGACCATTGTATCCTCCTCTTCCTCGACCACGACTGTTGCGTCCTCTGCCACGCCCTCTTCCTCTACCATCGGACTGGTTACGTTCCCAACCTCCATCTTCATACTCAACGTTCGCATATGCATTTCCTTCCAAAAAGGTAATGAAGGTAACAATGTGTTACAAGAAATCCATGAATCCTATGTTTAAAATCTCAAATGAAGGCTGGAAGCGTGGTGGTCTAAATAGAACACTACAAAGGAATTTTTACCTCTGCCACCTCTTCCCCTTCCTCTTCCTCTTCCGCTTCCCCTTCCTCTGCCACCAGGTGAACCCTCTGCGGGAAATATGAAAAAGTACAACTTATAAAGACGGTAGAGAACAGGGAATTATAAGGGTTATTGAGAGTGACCAAAACACACCTCCTTCATATTCCATATCGCCTAATGGCTTCACCATCTCAATAGGAATTGGGCACTGATATCTGCAACATCATTTAATAGAAATTATTAGTATTAAGAAGTTATTAAACCAGGAGTAGGGTAAGCAAGCCTGTGATAAAGAATATGCAATCTATACGTCAGACAGAAAGAGCCTCTGCCGAGATAATTGCTTGAGACAAAACTCATGTTACTAATTAAGGCAAAGAACCTCTAAAAAAACCAATCAGAAAGATCAAAACAAGAAGCTCACCCAACAGAAGATGTATTAAGCTCTTTCGTGGATAGGGTAATGGTTATCAAGGACACATGTCTTGTGGTCTCAATACTACAAGACAAAACAAAAAGAAAACAATGTGAAACTATTTGTTAAGGTAACGAATATATACAAGTACGAAATAAGCTAAGAAAGTCTTGTGGGTCCTTACGGTAGAAGGCCTTCCTCTTTAGGTTCCCATGTGTCTGTAATGTCGGTGGATCCAATAGATGTATTCTGATGAAGACCAGGGATCCTCCTCTGCGTTTTTTTTTATAAAAAAAGAAAACATTTTTCAGATAACCCATCATCTGTTTAAGAACTGGACAGTACAAGAAAAAAAACTCAAAACTACCTTAATAAGCTCCACAATGTTGACAGTCTTGTTGATAGCTCTTCCCATTGCCTTAAACACAACTTCAGTGGACCCTTTTTCCTATATATACAGAACAGAGTCTAAATAAAACTGTTCAACTGATCCCAAAAAGATAACTTAATACTCATCTCTCTATCAACACAACACATAAAACTTAGAATAAACTATCAGCCACATCACATGAAAACGCGAATCATTAACACAATGTAAACTCATGTTAAGAAAAATTTCTATCAGTATACTATATAAAGAGCTTATCAGAGGGTAAGGTGAAGCTCTGATAAGCTCAAACCTATACTATAAAGAGCATTGATTCAAAACGTCGACGTTTGAGTAACAAAACTATTCATAAAACCCTTAAGTTTGACTGACACATTTTTTTTTCCAGATTCTAAAGAGCAAAACACAATACTTGAAGAAGAGTCATCGCGTAGGTGATGTAGTTTCGTGCCCTGCCCATACTAGTGATCCGAATCTCGTTGGCATCAATCGTCCTCTCCTCCTTCTTCTTCACCACACGATCATACTTCTCCATCTGCAAAAATAGAAAGTCAACGATAAAACTAGGGATTTTGACTTTTTTAGAAAGTAAAACCACACACACATAACAGAAACATTTCGGTGTTGCTTTGATTCTTTACCTTCGAGGTAGAGGATTCAGATAGTACGGAGATGGTGGAAGAGCCCTCTTTGTACGGCTTCGTCTCTTTCCTTTTACGCCCTAAAGAGCTTTCTCTGATGGTTCTATGATATATACACACACACGTTGCACTACCCTAACCGGTTTCGGTTCGATATTTTGTTTAACGCATTTAGAATCGAACTTAACCGGTTATTAAACCAGCCGAATACAGTATGGAATTCCTCTTTGTTTGTTAATTCAGATCCGGTTCGAACCGGGGTTGTTCTGAACTTTCGGTTCATATCTTTTTCTCGGTTTAGTTAAGCTATAATCTTGTAATAATATCTTCGAGAAGATTTATCTAGTTGCGCAAAATGCGAAGGAAAAGGTCTAAATGGCTTATCCATTAAAGGATAAGATAAATTGTTTTAATAAAACCAAATCTACACGTTATTAATAGAAAGTTTTTTTCTGGATATTCGGTGTTAACAATTAATTAAATTCACTAAAAAGACAAATATATTTGTTTTGGCCTTTTTCAGAATTTTCAAAATTAAATTAGTAATGGTTTTCATGTAATAAGTACAGTTGCTTGCCAATGTCATATATAGGCCGTGCTGGGCCTCTAAATAATCGGATTTTTTTGTGACAAAGTACGATCGGGCTTAAGTAATATACACAAGCCCTATGGGAACGTAAAACAAACTTTATTCCAATGAAAATCTCTTTTCATGGACAATAGTTGCATACAATGGCAGCAGCTTTAGTAACGCCTAAATATACGAAAGTAAACATTATATAATCCTGTATCATAATCCAACATACTCTTCCAAGTTACACATTATGTATATGGATTGTGATTTCTGAACAAACAAATACTCCAATCAGATTCTCCCTCTCTCGCCGACTTTAGTTAACGGTGAGTTTTCTAACTATACCTAACTCTATGCATATGTACTTCTCATCCCGGCATCCCTTGTGTGTTCTACAATCACTTCTATGATTGGGGAAGGTCAATTTCATGAGCGTTTGGAAACTGTGTGTGAGCTCGGAGATGCCCCTTGGTACCCTTCTGGTAGAGTATGGACTCTGGGAGCAAGTGGCCATCGTTAAGCCGTCAGGACTCAGGCACGAGTAATCTTCGAACCATCCTGTTGGTCTCGAAGGTTCTGGCTATCAAAGTCCAGATATATTATTCACTTTCTATCTCGGGTTTAACTATAAATAATCAACACATACGTATTCATGACGTAGTATTTTACAAATATATGTTTAATTTATAAAGGAAGAAATCTGTGTGGGTTGTTCTTTTGTTGACATTATGGAGAAAAACGGGATGACTAGTGAGAAAGATATAAAAATGTATGTTGCTTTTCCATCAGAAGTAAGTTGACTTGTCTTGTGTTTCAAAAGCTAAATCATTTTAGTCTAAGCACGGTCTTTAGTTTCATATGATGATGGAAACTGCAGGGGCTTGTTGGTAGGATAAATAATTACCATAAAAGTAAATCATTTTAGTCTAACCACGGTCTTTAGTTTCATGGTAAGTATATTCCATGGTCAAACCATATATGTACATATTTGTCCCAAAGGATAAAATTACCTAAAATTAATACGAGAGTTATATTGGTGGCCACTAGACTTGGACTAGAGGAGCAGAGAGATCATATAAAGTAGTTGATTGATGTGTATATTATATAGTCATAGGACTTCATGATTCTTGTTTTGAAATTTTGACAACAAAAGGAGAATACCCTTTATTACTCAGCCTTACAGCTTCGTATTGTTTTCTTATATATTTGACTAGTTTTTTAATATGCTGTTTCAATCTTTTTCAATATAAATTTTGGGGACTGCATAAAGAACAAATCGAATCAATCATGAACACCTTCTGGCTTCACGTGACATGCTGTGTTAAAAGATCTTCTGTTCATAGAAGCTCTCCTAGATTTTTCCAGTTTTTACATTATACTTTTTTTTCTTCTTGGTTGTTTAAGTCATGAATTAAATCTACAAGACATGAAGTTTTAGGCTGTTTCGATTCGAAAATAGTCTAATACACCCTATCATGTTATGCGATCACGTAGATATTGAAATATTGCTTATAAGATATTTAACTATTCGAATAAAAAAATTCATATGTCGAACGTCTACACTTCTGCTAAAGATTAGTTTTGAATCTTAAATAAATCCAGAAAAAAAAAATCCAAAATCTATATTATAATAGTACACTTTTTAGGCTCCACAACGCGACACGTCAGTAGTTTTGTGGGTTCGATAGATATTTTTTAAAAACTTATAATCTTGGTAAGGTGTTTAATTAAGCATGCAAAATCGTGGGTTCAAACACGCAGTCATCATTTATTTTTGATTTTTTTATTTGGGTTATTATCATATGGGCTTTTTGTTTGTAAGGTTTTTATGATTTTTTTATGACATATTCTTTTAAAGATCAAAATAGTTGGATAAACCCTAAAGTTTAACGAGTTCTCACTAAAAATAGTTAAAAATGAATGCAAAAACGAACAATTAAAAAACAAAAAAAAAGCAAGTCTCACGCGGTTGCCTACGCGGATGGCTTAAAGAGCCTTAAAACTATCCTATTATAATATAGTTCAACCCAAAAATAATAAAAAATGAAAAAAAAATGAAACCCACGCGGCTACCTACGTGGATGGCTTAATGAGGCTTGAATAATATAGATTAAAAGCGCAAAAAGTGAAATCATTGCACATATTTCCTAATATATATTTTCAAAAAATTTGTATGTGAGATAAAATAAAAAAACAACAAAAATTAATTATTTTCGTTATTTATTTAATGAATATGTAATTTCTCTTACATTTTAATAACTACTATAATTTCATTGAAAATATTCCTCACCACCGATTTCAGACTCCGGCGAATGGATTCTCACAGGCGATGACGCCGTAAAAAAAAATGTCACATCATTTATGAACAAAACTCAAACTTACAAAACAAACATATATAAAAACCTATTTAATGAAACTTAAACAACGAATGTTAACTTAATTAAGGTTATTTTCAAACTGATAAATCGTTTAATACAAATATAAATACTATAAATATAGAATTATATCAAGTTTTGACCTACGATATAAAAACTATTTACAGCAAAAATAAAACACCTACTTTAACACAGTAAAAACTATATTATAGCCTAACTATTCCTATAAACTTACTTCGCATATAAATAACATTTAACTCATTCCTAATATATTTTCAAAATATTTGTATGTGAAATAAAATAAAATAAACAACAAAATTTAAGTATTTTTCGTTATTTATTTAATGAATATGTAATTTCTCTTACATTTTAATAACTACTATAATTTTATTGAAAACATTCCTCACCACCGACTCTAGACTTCGGCGAATGGATTCCTCGATGACGCCGTAGATAAAAATGCCCCATCATTTATGAAAAAAACCCAAACTTACAAAAAACATATATAAAAACCTATCTAATGAAACTTAAACAACCAATATTAACTTAATTAAGGTTATTTTTAAATTGATAAATCGTTTAATACAAATATAAATACTATAAATATAGAATTATATCAAGTTTTGACATACGATATAAAAACTATTTACAGCAAAAAGAAAAAATAGACACTTATTTTTACACACTGAAAACTATATTATAACCTAACTGTTCCTATAAACCTTACTTCGCATATAAATAACATTTAACACATTAGATATACAATATTTTCACTTTACACTCTTACTACGTTCTTTCCATTTCATTAATATTTGGTGTCATTAGAAGAATCCACTAAACCACTAAATCAAAAAAATATACGCAAACATAATGATTCCGGCCCCGCGCTTGCGCGGAGAGTATGCAACTAGTATAGTAAATATAAAAGATATAAAAACTATTTACAGCAAAAAAAAATAGACACCTATTTTTACACACTAAAAACTATATTATAACCTAACTGTTCCTATAAACCTTACTTCGCATATAAATAACATTTAACACATTAGATATACAATATTTTCACTTTACACTCTTACTACATTCTTTTCATTTCATTAATATTTGGTGTCATTAGAAGAATGCACTAAACCACTAAATCGAAAAAAATATACGCAAACATAATGATTCCGGCTCCGCGCTTGCGCGGAGAGTATGCAACTAGTATAGTAAATATAAAAGATTACAAGAAAAAATTGCCACTTCAATATCTTGTACACAGTTTTTACGTGTTTACAAGAGAACCCCCTAAAAAGTTAAAAACATCCAAATATAGAAGATCTGATTGGTAAAATATTAGAGTAACTTAACAATTGAAAGAAAAGAAAATAAAAAGTTAGAGGACAAGGATTTTCTATCATTTTTATGTTTTTGTCAAAGATATATTTATGCTATTTTGAGTTTTAACACAGTTTTTTACTTCCAGGTTTTACGCTATTCAGATACATATAAAAATGAAGAAAAAATATTTGTTGATAGTAAAAAAATATTATTTAAAATAAAACTATATTACATTATATTTGTTTCAACCAAATACCATACTCACTCCATTTCTAAATAAGTGTCACTTTGACACTTTTCACTGAAATTAAAAAAATTGTATACTCGTTCCGACTTATTTTAGTTGTCATTTTAAGTTTTGACACATATATTAAGAAAACAATTAATTTTTACATATTTCCAAATAAAAACATCATTTCCTATAAATTTAACCACGTTTCAACCAGTAACAATATAGAATGTCATATAAAGTTGATAAATTTTACATCGAAATCATAAAACGACACTTATTTTAAAATGAAAATTTTATTATACAACGATAAATAAATGGAAACGGGGGAGTAATAGACTAATATATCCTTATTTAATGTATGATTAACTAAATAAGAATGATTTAAATAAAAAT